CCCAGTGTGATGATCTTTTGCAAGCAGACACAGCTGATCTTATAAGATGATGGTAGTTTGCTCAGAGGATAGTGGTGTGTGACTTACTTGGAAAAGAATTAATGGAAGATGTAACTTAGAAACATAAGCATTCAGCTCACACATTGCTATGAAACTTTTCCAATTTATATTTTTTTTCCAAAATTTTTGTTCAAAATTTTAGCCATGAACAAGCCCGCTGTCCATCCCTTCTGTCTCTATATCAGATCTTATTTTTTTCGTTATATATTTTTATTGAATTTTTGTGCATTTGATATGTCTTAATCATATTTAGACCCTCTTCCCCTAACTGCACTCTTCTATCACTGCCCCCGCTCCCCACTAGATTTCATGCATTTTGTCATATATGTCAAGGCCTATCGAGTCAAGTTTGTGTACCCAGATGTCCTTCAGTGTGAGTTCATCCACTGGAGACTGTTCAGCCTACCTGTGTCACTCCCTTAAAGAAGACCAACCCTCCCTCACCCAGCAGTGATCAGCTGCCAATAGTTCCTCAGCTAAGGTTGGGGCCTGCTGCCCATTTCCCCAGTTCATTTTGTCTGATAGAGTTTGCATGGGTCTTGTGCACGCTGTCACCATTGCTGTAAGTTCAAATGAGCAAGTTCCCAGAAGCCTGGAAAACTCTGTTTCTTTGTGCTCATCCTCTACCTCTGGCTCTTACAATCTTTCTGTCCCCTCTTCCACAATGGTCCCTGAGCCTTGGGTGGGTAAGGTTTAATATAAAAGTCCTGTCCATGGACATGCACTCTGCAGTCTCTTACTCTACACTTTGGCCAGTTGTGCCATCTGTGATAATCACTGTGGCAGCTTTGCTGGTGAGAGTTGAGGGATACATTAATATTTTCTCTACCCTCTCTTCTTCCACTGTTTTTTGAGTCTTGGGTGTAGATGTCCCATTTTAAATGTATCAATTAGGGCCGGGCATCTCACAGATACTTAATCTCTGTGTTTGACCAGTTGTGAAACTCTCTAATGGTCTCCATCTGTTGCAAAAAGAAACTCCCTTGATGAGTGGTGGCAGATATACTTGTCTGTAAAAATAAGGATCCATATTTAACATACAGTAAGAAATTACATTTGTCTAGGGATGAGACAGATGTAGAATTTTCTCTAGAATCTACGATCTCTTCAGCCATGTGTATTTGGTTATGTTTATAGTGCCACACATGAATTCCCTCCCAATAAGAAGGCTTTGAGTAAAATTAGATAGTTCTTGATTATCCCCAAGATAAAAGTGCCACTACTGCACCAATATTGATCACCTGGGGTTGTTGCAAAGGCTATTTGGTATCTTCAATTCTAATAGTCCCCCTTTAAACTTCTACTGGAGATACCCCTGTCCATTAGAGATTTGTAATCTCCTGTTCTTAGGATAGTTGCTGAGGTCTGTCTGCCTAGTCAGAGACTACATTACCCAACACCTTTCCATCCATGTGACCAATACTCAGCAGCTTAAATGAAAGGTGCTGTTTGTAGACCAAGGTAGTCAATAAGTAGATGGGACTTCTTCCTAGTCTCTTGGCTCTTTCTTTGACTGACTACAGCAGAAAACCTAGAGGCTCCAGGGAACTGCAGAACAACATAATGGAGAGAGCTGAGTCCCTTAATTACCCACGTGAAGAAAATTCACCACTAACCAGTAACATCCACATTACAATGGTGAATGTGGTAAAAACAAACATTTCTACTGTTAAGTCACTGAAGTTTGAGGGTTTGTTACAACTGTTAGCATTACCTTAATTAGCTCTTAATTCATCAAACACAACCATGTTATTGTTGATAAAGTATAACTCCTTCAAACTGTTATCTTTCTCCTATCCTCTCTCTCTCTCTCTCTCTCTCTCTCTCTCTCTCTCTCTCTCTCTCACTCTCTCTATTTACCCAGTTATCTAATCTATCAATCATCTATCAATCATCTTATTGGTTCCCTATTACCTAATAAACTTTACTTCTTTAAATTCAATGCCTTGATTTAACTTTCCTTGATAACAGAAGCCTCATATACCACTTTTCCTCTAAATGTATTCTAGGCTGTATATTCCTTCCCCTTAAATCCTTCAATTCCCCAAAGATTTAGAAGATATCTACTGCTAAACTACCATGGTACTGTGGTCTGCTTTTCACACATTCATTTATTCACAAGGATATGTATCAAGTGTCTGTTTCATGTTGGGAAGCATTGGGCTTAGTTCTGGGGACAAAACAAGATAACCTTCAGAGTTTATAATATTCTCTGGAAAATACACATCTGTAGCTGTAAATACAGACCAAAATGGTATGTATGCATGTGCACACACACAAAAGGAATTAAAAGTAAAATACAACAAAAGCATGTTTAAGAGGGGACAAATAATTTTATAAGAGGAGGGAATTAGGCCTCTCAGATCCTGTTCTATAAGATTTTTGTAACATGTAGTAAGAAAAACACATGATGGCCTTTTTTAAGTGGAAGAAAGCGCATATGCTTAAAGATAATGACTAATAAAGCTATTCTAAAGTAAGGTTGAAAGGTATGTTAGCTATATATTCTCAGCTGTATAGTCCTCCCCTTGACAGACAGACACATAATATAGGTATATAGGTAGAGATAATAACATACTTTTTGGTATCTTGCAGACAAAATATAACCACGTATATAAAAAGACCTGTCAAATGCAGAAGGAATTACAGCACAATGCATTTTTATTTTTTGTCTGGTCTGACCAGACATTATGAACTGTTACAGCTGAAGTTTTAGACATCAAAATAACATTATTATTTAGAAAGGGTAAGTTAGAGTGAACTTGCCCGAATTATAGTAGGACAAAAACCTCACTTCTTAGAAATGGCCATAACCTTTCATGAAATAAACATTTATTAACTGATGAAATGATCAGAAATATTTTTTTAAAACTAGTTTTATTTGATACAGGGAAAAACTTTTACAAAACCTCCAAGTGCTCTCAAGAAGAAGGTATATTGTATAAATTATTGTGTGTGATTGTGCACTTCATGCTTGGTGCTTAAGTAAGCAGAGGCAGGTTATATGGCTTTGGGTCCCAGCTCTGTCACAAATCATAAGAACTTGGGTAAGTGACTTAACCTGTCTGTATCTCCATCTTCAAATGGAGTTGATAACACCACCCGCCCTATGGAATTGTCATGATAGTTAAATCACAGGGGAAATTTGCACACAATAGGTATTTAATAAGCATTAGTCAGTAATACACTATATAATTACAAGAAACATTATTTACTACAAAAATGAATGTCTTTGATTATGTGTTTTGTATAAAATATTGATAAGTTAAAAAACTAGAGACAAAACATTTTGCAAAGTTAAATTAAAAGATATATATGAATATGCTAGAGGAATGTGTATAAAATATTATCAGTGATTATCTCTGCACTGTAGGATTACAAGTGGATTTTTTTTTTCTCATTTGTTCATTTTGGTAATTTCAGAGTTTTCTCTAACTTACATGTGGCAAATTCATTATAAGAAAATGAAAATAAAGTATTCAAAAACCTACCCTTCCACTCACATGGTCTATTTTAGTAAAAGACATTCTTGGCAATACATGAGAACTGTGTATCATGACTTTGTTATAACAGAGAAATCTGTCTCTTTGAACTGTAAGATGCTATTTTGAACACAAGAAAAACAAAGAGTTCTGTGGCACACCTGACATTTTAGTTGGGACATGTTATTTAAGAACAGTCATTAATTGGTTTATATAACCTAAACCACTGAATTTCAAACAAAATAAATTCAAACGTACCACACCTAGTTAAATCTACATGGATAGCATATGCAATGGGCTTCTCATTTACTGAGTCCTGGGCATTCTCAAAGTACTATATATCAAAAGAGGAAACATTTTGTTTCAATGATTTGGACTATTTATTAAATAAGATCAAAGGATGAGGAATCTTTCTTTTTTAAATATTTTTATTCATTATTTTTATGTGTATGAGTGTATTACCTGCATGTAGGTAAGTACACCCATGTCATGCAATGCCCATGGAGGATAGAAGAGGCTTTTGGATTCCCTGGAACTGGAGTTAGGACAGTTGTCAGCTGCCATATGGGTGCTGGGATTCAAACCCAGGTCTTCTGCAAGAACAACCAGTGTTCTTAACCACTGAGCCATCTCTCCAGCCCAAGGAGTCTTTCTTGAGTTTAGCAATAAAAATTATTTTATCTGAGTTTTCCCAATTAGCCAGAAGCATTCAGGAATTTTTTCTCTGGGAATTTTTAAAAACATTTTCTTCACTGAGCTTTTTACATTTCATACATTTCCCACTCAAATCCAGACCCCCTACCCCATCCATTCCTCCTCCCATTTCCCCACTGAAGCCCATGCAGTCTGCCATACATGCTGAGTCCTATTCATTCAGGTGTTTGTATCCGAATGTCCTTCAATGTAAATGCGTCTAGCCAGCCCATCCAGTGGTCATGTGTAAGTCATACTCTTCCTCACCCAGCAGCAATCAGTCTCACATGGCTAAGATCAAGGCTGCATCCTTTATTGGGGCAGTGGGAAACAGTGCATTTTCAAGCTTATTCGAGCTCCTTGAAGTTGTAAGACCAAGGACCCTGTTTCTTTGTTGGCTATTTGAATTCCTTCTGATTCTTTCCATGTGATTCCTCCCAGCAATGGCAAGTTGAGCTCCTCCCTTTTAATCTCTTTCTCCTGATACATCTTCTGCCTTCAGCCACAAGATACCTGTGTCTAAAAAGTTATATGATTATATGGAGTCCAACCAAATATTCCAAGATAATCTATTTTAAAATTTATAATTTATGTATGAAAAGCCCCTTTTGCTATATAATATGACACACTCTTAGGCTCCAGGGATGATGGCATAGACAACTTTGGGAGACCATTCTGCCTACCAAATATAAATTGTATTTTTAAACAAGTTTCTGTTTCTTGCCCGATTCTGCACCTGATGAGCATGGGCTTTTCTCTTTCTAGAACATTCACCTGGCCAGGAGATTATATGACATGGCTGCTCAAACAAGTCCAGATGCTCACATACCTGTGTTCTTTGCCCTCATGAAACTGGAAACTATGCATTTGCTCCGAGATATCCTGTTTTTTAATGTAAGTTTGTGTCAAATGGTCCTGAAGCTCTGAAAACTCTGAAGAGCAACTCAGGGACAAAGGGATGAGGCTTACTGAGGGAGTCTATTTTTTGGCATGACTTCCTTTGATAAATAGAATTCAAAGTCTTATACTTAAGATACAGAGAAAGTCTACTTGCTATACTGAGTATGTGTTGACACTTTGTAGTACAACTAGTGAATTAATTCAGCAGATACTCTTCAGCATCTTAAGCAAAGTCGATGTGCTATATATACTTGTTCAACACACAGCTCCTGCCGTCGAAATCTGCTATGGTAAAGCAGATGGCAGGTGGCAAGTGATACCACAAAGAGCCATATTTTTTAAAAGGCAAAATTAAATTTTATCATTTTTCTTGAGAAAGGATCTTACCATATAACCAAGGCTTACTATAACTCACTGTGTAACACAGGCCGACATCAAACTTGCAACCTCTCCGCCTCAGCCTTCAGAGTGCTGGGCAAGTGCCATCGTGCTCCACTGAATTTTCGAAATCTCTTTTGTCATTTTTAATTGATTTCCTGTGTATTTTATACAGAACATCTCAATCAGTCTTAATCATCTGATGGTAACTAAGCCCCTGTGTGAGCTGGATGCCAGCAAAGGGCATCTCTTCCATGACTGAAGGAAGCAAGGGGAATGGGTTGAGGGCAGGGTGCCAGTGATGGGTTTGGGAGGAGAAATCATTTTGACTACAGTAGGAGGCTGGGACTTTTTTTCTTTTTGACTGACTTCCTCTTGCCAGCAGTTCACAATGAGATGGAAATGGATAAAACTGGACAATGCAGTTGGACCATACTGGGATTTATTTGTGATCGGCCTAATTGTTGCCATTCTGATCTTCCTGCTTACAAATCGCCATAGGTAGGCTCTGGATCATCAGAAAACCTGCTCACGGGTTCTTGCCATGCTATCCTCACCAAATAAACAACTTCCTCATCCAAATCAAGAGCTGCTGAAGATTTCTCACACATGCTATGATGGAAAGTACACAAAGCTTGAGATCTGTCCAAGAAAAACTACTTCAGACTTCCTGCTTAGTTGAAGGGACCAGGTCGGGGATAGTGAGGACAGGCCATCTAAGACTTTGTCACAAACTTGTTTTCCTGGTGATCTAGTCCTGGCCTCAATAAAGATCACCATCTTATATTGTTATAAAAAAGGTGCCCCCCCCCCTTGAGAGAACAGCTGAGCTTCTTGGCTCCAAAACATACACTGAGGTAAAGAGAAGGGTGAGCTCAGAGAAGTTAGGGAATACAGACCCTCAGAAGATGACAGATATTTACAAGTAGATCTCATAGGAATTACCCTGACTAAAGTCCTGATAATCAATGGCACATTGTGGTATATCATGCCTGGAAAGGAAGTACGGGGCCATAGTGGGAGATGGTGTCAGCCGCCTAGACATAGATTAAAAGGTCTAGCTTCTGCAGCTTCTATTAAGCAAATCAGTGACCCAAGACTGAAGATTTAGGGCCTGTGATTTATGCTAAGCTTGAATCATAGCTCCACAATTCTCTAACTATTGAACTCCTCAACTATCTTAGTCAGTTGGTACAAGGATTAAATGAAATAATGTATGCAAACAGAGTCCTTCATCTAGAGGGTACATCATAAAAGAGACTTGAATGTCCTTTAAAAACTCACGGCAAAGAAGCCAGGCATAGTGGTACATGCTTACAATCCTAGCACTTGGGAAACTGAGGCAAGAAGATCACAGCCTTAGCTATATAGTGAGTTCAAGGCCAGCCTAGACTATGTAAGACCTTATTTCAAAACATAAAAAGCAAAAACAAAACCTCAAATCAGTTGGAATGGGGTAAGAGGTACCTAAATTAATAATCTCTGTGGTTTTCCAGCTGAAATGTTGAGTGCTTTGATAGGAAAAATCCACTTGGTTACTTAAAACTCCAACATAAACACAAGAGGAGTTAAATGATGTGGGGAATCATAAAGGTAGTGAGAGGATCTGGAAGAACTTGGAGGATACACTTTGGAAACAAGGGTAGTTTGCAAGTTTTAGTCACTTAAATGTCCATTTCAGGGTCTCTTCTTTAGTGCTACCACTGAGGATAGGTTCAAGATGACTGATCAAGGGAGAAAGAGCTTCCTGCTTAAAAGCCACTAAAATTGTCCAGTTATGGCAAAATAGCAGTTTGTACTGATCTCCACATTATTTAGCAAAGAGAGCACACTGACCCACAGCATGTATACAGGGAGACTCCAAAGAGATTCACTCTTAATAGAATCTAAGAGCAAAGCAACAATATTCAGTCACCATCTTCACAATAGCAGGCAAATAAGATCAGGATAAGGGCTCCTGAGCAAGCTGAGGTTATCTTCATGTCAAGGAAACACAAAGATTTGCTTTCCTACATTAGTTGTGGGACTGCTGTGGGGTCTGGCTCTTGAAAGTCAGCCAACTAAAATAGATGACACCCCAGCCAGTACAAAAGCAACTGAGACTCGGCAAGTGTCCTGGCCCAGAATGAGTGTGGGTAAGGCCAAGTAACAGACATGCTATAAAAGGATCTCAAACCAGGCAGGAGGAGGGATAGATGCTATGAGAAGGGAAGGGCCTCACTTCTGAGAGCCTCATGATGACAAACATTTCAAATCTAACTGATACATTCTTCTTGATTTAGTTTCCTCTAGAAGCTGACCTTGAGACAGGGATTTCAGTGTAAGTAGTTTATCTGATGAGAATCTCAAGAAAAACAGGAAGAGGACTAGTATAGGGTGGATATCAAGAAAGCTACCACTGCAGGCCACTGGAAATTTCTGGTACTTTGGGTAGAACATGTACCTTCTTGTTATTGTGCCCAAGGAACAAGAGAGCCATGTGTTTATCACAAATCCTAGAAGTCCTTTGATCGATGAGTGCTTTGGGGGGCATTAATTGTCTGCACTAAGATACAGACAGGTAGAGCCAGCAGAGAAAGCCCTTGGGCAAACAGGTTGCAGGTGCTGGGCAGCTTCACCTGCCAACATCCACTGGGGTATATGTAGTGCAATGATCAGATTTCTTTGTTTCAGATAGCATAACTCAGTATCTATAGAGCCAGAGACACAGCTCTACACTACAGCAGCCTGAGGAGTTATTTTAAGAGACCTCTACTCAGGTGATACCAGGATTCTTGACGTCACAGAAAAGAATTTCAGGACAAACCAGTATGAAACAGAGCTGGAATTTATCAAAAGATATTTTGATTTTTAATATCAATTTAAGTACAAAGACTTAATAGAGAGGCACTCAGGAAAAATATAAGATACCCAGGAGTGTGGATGTGAACTCCTCAAGAGAGAGAATTGATTTTCATTGACTTTACATAATCATATATATGATTTTGGTGGATTCTAAAGCTATATGTTCAAAGGGTTACTAAGGAATTTGAATGTGATTATTGAGTTCTTCCTGATATGCATTGGATAAGATTATAGCTGATAAGGTAACAACCTAGATCACAGGGGTTGCATGGGAAAGAAGGATGCTTTCACTGTAAACAAAAGTAAATAAAAGTCTTGTGAAATTTCTAGAAAATATTTGAGAATGGAGTAATGTCACACACACTCAGACCTTAATGTAGTTTAATGCTATTTTAATATTCTTTCTTTTTTTTTTGTCTTTTTCAGACAGGGTCTCTCTGTAGCCCCAGCTGACCTGGAACCCGCTATGTAGACCAGGCTGGCCTCGAACTCACAGAGATCCACCTGCCTCTGCCTCCCAAGTTCTGGGATTAAAGGCGTGCACCACCATGCCTGGCTTTTTTAACATTCTTACTTGAAAATATCCTATAAAAGAATATTGTCCATATATAGGAAACCTTCACAGAAAATGTTGCTAGTTGTTCTACAATCGTTGGTTTCTAGCTGGTGAGAGGCTTCAACCAGACTCTGGAAAGAGGGGCTCCTTTATCGTCCCATTTTTCCTTAAATTTTCCTTTCTTTCTATTCTGCATTAGCAGGGGGTATTTAAAAGCAGAGTTATAGTATTCTGATGCTACCCAGCTACCCAGTGAATAATTTTTGCCTCTAGAAGAAATGCAGGGCCCAGCAGAATGGGATGACAAATAGAAGTGAGGTGTCAAGAGAACTGAACGTAGCATGCTTGCAGCTAGTTGGCTGCAGCCTAGAATCTTGACTGGGAGATGGGAGTATGGCAAACTGTCAGGTCAGTTCTACCTTGTTTGCTTTCCTTTCCCCACCTGCCCATGGCTCTTCCAGGAGAAAGTGAGGTGTCAGGGTAGTTTGGGGACAAGAGCTATTTTATTAAACTGGTATGAAAGTCATCCTGTGAAGGACCCTTCTGAGCATGGAAATTTACCATGTTGGCCCTATGATTCTCAGCTGGGGGCCTACTGTCTTTGTTGAGAATTTCCTCAAAGCAGAGACTAAGACAAGGATTTCAGTATCGGTAGATTACCTGAGAAGGAATCCAAGGACTCAAAAGTTAGAGAGTGGAATGGATGAAAAACCGTAAAAATGTGCATTACTGAAATCACCACTAAGGACAAGGAGCTTTTAATCTGCTAGGATAGGAGAAGTTAACAGAATCTGTTCCAGAATTGTTTGGTTGACAGATGAGAGACTGAGGCCACTTTCTCAGCTTCCTCTGAACCATTTAAGGATTGTTCCCAGGATGCATTTATCACTCCTTTCAACCCTTCTAGGTGTTTTAAAGGAAGCTTTGGAGAACGCTCTGAGATATAGAAAAGACCTATGGTGTCCCTTGGTGTTATACAAATCTACTAAGAGTCTGAGTTTTCAGAAAAGGGTCCTCCCAACCAGCAACTGAAATCAGAGGTAGGCAATGTAAGCATCAGTGAGAGAGACCTGAGCCTGAGGTCATGCACTGGTCTATCAGCAAACTCTCAGATGTAGCATGTTAGAAAGGCCCACTGTAGAAGGTGGATTTTGAGAGGGGGATATTACCATGGACTGTCCAGGTGGATCTTGAATGTAGCCATAAACATTCTTATAAGAAAGAGGAAGAGAGATTTGACAAAGGGAATGAGGTGGTGTGACCACAGAGAAAGAGACAGAAGTGATGTTACCTGTCCTGATTAGTTTTTGTCAACTTGACCTACACTAGAGTCACTTGGGAAAAGGGACGCTCAACTGAAGAATTTCCCAGATCAGACTGGCCTGTGGTCATGTCTTTGAAGCATTTCCTTAATTGTTAGTTGATATGGGAGAGCCCTGTCCAATGTGAGCAGTGTCATCCATGGGCAGGTGAGTCTAGGCTTTATATCAAAAGTAGCTGAACAAACCAGGGAAAGCAAGCCAGCGTCTCTGCTTCAGTTTCTGCCCTGGCTTCCCTTAATGATGGATGGTGAGCTGTAAGCCAAATAAACCCTCTCTTCTCTAACTTGTCTTGGCCATAGTGGTTTTTTTATTATTTTTTATTTTATATATATGTATATATATTGCCTGCATGTAGGTAAGTGTACCCATTTTGTGCAAAGCCTGCGGAGGACAGAAGAGGTTGTCGGATCCCTTGGAACTGGAGTTATGGACAGTTGTTAGCTGCTATGTGTGTGCTGGGATTCAAAACCAGGTCTTCTGCAAGAACAGCCAGTGTTCTTAACATCTGAGCCATCTCTGCAGCCTGGCCATAGTGTTTTTTACAGCAACAGGAAGCAAACTAGGACACCATCCAAGCCAAGGAATGCCTCAGGCCACCACAAGCTGGAAGAAGCAAGAAGGGTACCCTCCTGTAGCCCAGAAAGAGGTGGTTCCACTGACCTTGATTTCAGACTCCACAATTCCAAAGGAATAAGTATATTTTCTAAGCTGCCAATTTTGTGGTGACTTTTCACAGCAACAATAGGAAGCTAAGACACTATTTCTTCTCTAGGTACCTCTAAGCTGGCTCTTTATGTCCTCCATCTATTGCCTAAGAAATACATATTCTTTTAAAATTTTTATTAGCATATATTCAATATCCAAAGAGATGGGTTTCATTATAACATTTTCATTCAAATATATACTTTGAAGCCAGGTGTAATAGCACATGCCTTTAATCCCAGAATTTGGGAATTGAAAGCTATCAGATTTTTATGAGATCCAAACCAGTCTGATCAAGTTACAGGCCAGCTAAGGCTACAGGGAGACCCTGTTTCAAAAAACCCATCCCAAAATATGTGTGTGTGTGTGTATTTTCATTCAAATATATACTTTGAAGCCAGGCGTAATAGCACATGTCTTTAATCCCAGAATTTGGGAATCGAAAGCTATCGGATTTCTATGAGATCCAAACCAGTCTGATCAAGTTACAGGCCAGCTAAGGCTACAGGGTGTATATATATGCATGTGTGTGTGTGTATATGTGTATATATACACATATACACATATATTGAGGTCATATATACTTTGACCATATTCACCCATTGCTGTCTCTTGTCCCCATTCCTGTAACTCCCCTTTACTGTTTATGAAAAGTCCACCTTCTATTTTCATTTCACATATATACATATATATATATATGTATATAAGTGTGTGTGTGTATGTACAGGCATGGCTATTGCAAGAAAATGTGTGTGTGTGATGTATAACATTTTATATGCACACACAATCTAGGTACCACATGAGAGAAAAACGTATATTTGCCTTGCTGAGTCTAACTGATTTCATTTAATATGATGATCTCCAGTTCCATCCATTTTCCTGCAAATGACATAATTTCATTCTTTCTGGATGAATAATACTTGTGT